GGTGAGGTGGGGTAGATGGGTGAAAGGGAGGGAAGAGAGGGTGTAATACCCAAAAAAAATCCACATCTCATGGGAAAAAAATATCCCTCTGGTTTTCTCTGTAACCGTGAAAACACATTTAACAAAAACAAAGAGAAATCTCAACAAACTCCTCCCTCTCTTACTAGAAGATGTCTAACTACCTAATATTTTGTTAAGAACCCTATCCATTGTTATCGAGGCGCAAGGCGCAATGCGGGATGCAAAGGCCCCTTACGCGCACCATGCGCAAAGCACACAACGATGCGCTCGTCTCACTGAATTGAGACGCACAACTCAAACTAATATTTTTCAACATAAGACAAAGAAGCATATAAGCAACATGTTTATAAATTGTCACATAAAAAGACCAAGAAATATAATTTCACCAACTAAATCACGAAAGAGTCTTAATTAACGTGCATAACATAGAGAAGTTCATAAGTTTCCATAAATCATAATGCAAGATAATCTCTAATATAAGCAAAAATCTATGAAACAAAACAAGCAAATAACAAATAAGAAATATGTATTTTCATTTAAAATATGATATATGTATTTTTAAATAACAATTAAGTGATTAAAAAACATGTATGTTCATAATTTTCTAGTTAGCATTCTTAATTGTTATTTGCTAGTTAGCATGAAAAGATGGAGAATGGAGGTAACAATTACATATTTATATGTTCATAATTTTTTAGTTAGCATTCTTAATTGCTATTTGCTAGTTAGCATGAAAAGATGAAGAATGGAGATAACAATTACATATTTACATGGTCATAATTTTCTAGTTAGCATGCTAATTAGAGAAGAAAATTACAATTAGCAAATAAGTATACTAAATTACTAATTATTGTTCCCTTTTTATAGGTTAAACATGAAAAAATAGAGAATGGATTAGCAACTAGCAAGAACGAGTCTATTACATGATGTAAATATGTAATATATAAATTATTTAAAAAAACAGAAGAAATAGTTTATTACATGACGCAAGTGTCAAGCGCACGCGAGGCCAGCGCGAGGCGCGCGCAAGGCCGCGCCTCGTGTGCGTGCAGCGCCCCACCTCTGGTGCGGGACGCAATTGTCCTAGCCCGCAGCGCCCTGTACCCGGGGCACGCCCAGAGCGCACGCCTCGATAACAATGACCCAATCTCCTTTACAAGCTTATCTATCTCTTCTGGTTTTTCTTCACAACAACACACGAGAAAAAAAGAGAACACAAGAAAAAATAAGAGTATCTGGTACTCAAGGAGAAGGAACGGATAGGGATTTCAAATTTCAAAGTTCAATTATTATTTTGGCAAGCATTTCTTATCCTCAACTCTTTTATTTTCATGATTAGCTTATCTAAATACTAAGATTTCTTTCTAGAAAATCATGAGGAAGAGATTGTAGTTGGGTTTTATCACCTTTTGTTGATTACAATGAAGTAGGAAAAATCTTTACTCTTTATGCAAGCATTTTACTTCTCAATAATGATATTTTTCTAACAAGGAAATAACTTTTCTTTTTCATTTTTTCCATAATTCGAATATTATTATTATTATCCATTTCCGACCAAGTTTTGTACAACTACGTATTTTCGGGTTTATTTTTTTTCCAAACCCCTACTTATATATAATCTGCTTTTTTTTGTTAGTCTAGTAATCAGAAACTATCTGTTATATATAGCTTTACAGTAGTTCATTTCACATAGATGTGTTTGGCCTAGTGGTTACATGACTTGTTTGCTAACCCCTTAATCACCGGTTCAAATCTCATGATCCTCTTTTATTAAGTAATTAGGTATTTGGGGAAATAAGAAATAATTTCCCTTTTAGATCTTAATTTCTACGGCGAGTAGATTTAGCTAATAAACAAATAAATTTCTTTTATTTTGACAACAAAGGATTTTTTTAACTAAAACATACTTTCTATCTATGTGTAAATTTCTTTTTTTGGTAATAAATTTATTATTTTTTATAATTTTGTTCCTAGTATTATTATGTAAAACAGAACATATGAGTTTTCTAAAATCCTTAGTACATTATTTATCCTAAATTTTTATTTTTTCTATAGAATCATAGTTAAACTGGAAATAGGTAAAAAAAATCATGCAGTAGCGAGCCAACTAAGAGATCCCTTAGCCATAGTGGTTAAGAGGCATGGCCTCTAACATGGAGGTTCCGGTGTTCAAATCCTAGGACCTTTAATTTTACACAAAAAATCATTTAGGTCCGTTTTTGAACTTAAACCCGACCCAGTTGGGTCCAATATCAAATACCTGACCCATTTGGGTCTATAACTCAAATTACAGACCCGTTTGGGTTTTTTACTAAAAAAATCAGATTTGTGGATCTTTAAGCTATTAAACCAAAACCGTTGATTTTTTTTTCTGACACTAAATACTTATGTTTTATTTGTCTTTTCCTTTTTGATAAGTGAAGATATGTCGTTTGATGATGTGTTTGAATATCTGATGACATGTTTGATACATTTAATAGGATCGGTTGTGCATGAAGTCGCATTCCGTTAAAATGTGATTCATAAGCGTGCTATCATAGCATGGATATACCCTCGACATTGATATCCCGATGTGATGAGTTTCTCTTGATTATTATTATTATATAGTAGCATCAACTAGACGACGTATCCATCTTGATTGGACATGTTCTAGTCACGGTTATTTTTTATAGTTTTGCGAAAGCCGTTTCACGGTAACTCTGTGGTTATTGAACAATATTTTATGCACAACCACTTAAAATAAATAGAAAAACATGGATTTTATAAAGGGGAATTGGACGGAGAATATAATGTGTATATAAACGGGCTCATGCACATTCTTGTTATCCTGAGTTATATATAAGGGTTAAGGGGCAATACTTGACTTGAAACCGTGTTCCCGGGACAGTTTACGGGGATCCAATTTATATACACGAAATATTCTCTTCTAATTCAAATAACATCTAAGATATTAATAATTTGCTTGTGTGCCTTGTGATAGACTTTAGCTTGATATCTATAATTAGCATTTTCTTTTGTCACCTTTAATTGAGATTTCAATCTTTCCATTAAACCTACCACATACGCATACACGCACACAATTCCTTTATTTTAATGCTTGTTGGGAGTTTTGTGACTTCCCCAAACCCAAGAACTGTTCTTTTTTCACAGGATCGATAATATTTTGAGAATCAGGCCTAGCGATAGTGACCACATTCTATCCTATCAGTTCTCTGTTTTAGTTGGTGTAGATAGTTATTTGATTCAAACTTTCATTTGAGCCCGATGTGGCTTTTCAAAACGATCATGTTTTTTTTATTCTTTTTTCATTCTGGATAGTTGTGGATTCATACTTGAACTCTGTTTTTCAAAGATTTCTTTACCTATATATTTTCTTTTGTTATCTTAGTTACATGTTTTGTAGTGCAGTTTTGGTTGTGTATCTGTATACAAGATGATCTAGAGGCGTGAATGTGACCGAGTGATTGCATTGCCGGACAAGTCACGTTCTAAATGTTTACATTTCGGAACCGGGGGCGTGACAAAGGGTGAGTGGGTAGGTGAGAGGAAGGTGGATAGGTGACAGAGGAGGAAAGGAGGAAACGAGAGAGAGGCGAGAAGAGGAATTTGGTTTTTCTTGAGATGAGGACAAATAAAGTATAAAAAAAATCTTTCACTCAAGGTGGCATATGCCTATTTGGGAGTTAATAAGTGATAAATGCACACCATCATAATACAGGACGTATATGACATATGCGCAATTAATTTTATAATAAAATTAAGAAAACTGTACTTTAATCTCCTAAAGTTTTAGCATATTTAACTTTACATTTGTTCGAATGATTTCCTCTAGTTTTTAAGTTGTAGTCAACCCCATTAACTTATGAAAGGGAGTAAATTTATATTAATACTTGTTTTCTTGTTAATTGTTTGAGATTTTTTTTCTATTTAGGGTTTTCTTATTTCTTTTTCTTTTTTTAATCTATTTTTAAGGAGAGGGAGTAAGTCCACATCAATATGTATTGTGTAATTTACATTAATGCCTACTTTCTTGTTAACGGTTTGAGATCTTTGCTATTTAGAACCCAAGAACACTCTTTGCAATTACTTTTTTGTCATATTTTTGCCTTATCCAACTAATCAAACACCTTTCCATTGGTCTAATCGGCTTCTAGATCATATAAAAGAGACAAAGATACATTCATTTGTAAAATTAAAAAGGTCAAAGCCTCATGTTTCTTGAAGTGAAAATAAATCTCAATTAATTTAACACACGCACTAGGAGAAACAATTATCCCAATTTTTCTTTGCCAAGATTGTTCAAAAATAAAATCTTTTCTCAGATCAAAGGAAACAGGTTATAGAGATACTCGATCTGACTTTTAATAACAATTTAGCTACTAAATAATTCGTATTCAGGATGTAAGACTTTTTAATACGTAGGGGCTGTTTAGTTGCACACTTTTTGAGAAAACTTTTCTCAAAATATCTGACAATGGTAATTTTGTAATTAAAAATTTTCTATAGATTTCTGTAAATTGTGTTTGGTTCAACAAAAAATTTATAGAAATATTTTCTATAAAATATTAAAAACTATCAAATTTTACAAAAAGCAATTTCCTCTCAAAATGAGAGGAAATCAACAGGAAATCTGACACCTTCCTTATTTAATCAACAAAACTCGTCCCATACCCATTTTCTATAAAGTTATGAGCCATTTTCTTGTTTTGAACCAACCAAGCAAAGTATAAAAAATAAAAAAAATTGTTACTTTTTAACTTCTCAAAATTTTTCATATAATTTTTTTAAGAAATACAAGGAAATCATATTTTGGGTGGAAAACATTTCCTATAATTTATAGAAATTGAACCAAACACCCCCTTAGCTAACAGCAATATAATCTTAGTTCTTGATAATGTTCTCAAAATCTAACATAAACCTAAACCACCATCAATTTACCAAATACATCAAAACAATCTCACAAGGAAAAAAAAAGTTACCCAGGAAAGAAAGCTCAGTAGAAAGACACGGAAAAGTGCTTCAAGATCCATCTCCTCTCCGGTCCAAAGGTACCGAGGCAGAGCGCCGATGAGGAAGCCATTTTATTTGACGAGAAAGTGGAACCAAAGTGAGGAGAGCGGAGGAAGAAAGAGGTAAAGGAAAGAAAATTGGGGATAGCTATGGAGGGTTTCTTGATTACAGAGAGAAGTTTAACTGGTTAAATTAATAATAGGACAAAGTTTCAAAACCAATCTGTTTTGAATCTTAATCTTAAAAAAAGACTCGTTTCAAACTTAATTTCAAAAACCGGCCCAATTGGTAGAAACTATGTTGGTTTTTTGAAAAAAAAATTCTCAAACTTCACGGGAGTTGAAGTCCTGTGAAGTTTTTTACGTAACAAAGTTTGAGAACTTTTTTTTAAAAAAACCGATCCAATTTCAGCCTTACTAGATCGTTTTTTGAAATTAAGTTTGAAACATGTCGGTTTTTGAGGGTTTTTTGGCAAAGAAGTTTGTTTTGAAAATTTGTCCATTAATAATATTTTTTTTAGGGTGAGGAACCGTGGCTAGGTTAATTAGGTATCAGAAGCGAGCTCGAAGGTTTGAACACTTGAACTACATTGGATCATTCACGAGAGCCCAAATCTCACCCTAATGTCACGTATTCTGAGTGTTCTTATCTGGATCCAATAAGGCGCATCCAATGTTCTATGGAAAGGAAATGCATTATTTGTTCAGTCATAGGTAAATGTCTTCCGTAGAAATGCATTAGATGTTCAGTCATAGATAAATGTCTACGTTATATAAAAGTGAACTTGACAATCGTTAAATGGTTGAATTCAAGTTATTTTTTTATTTTTCTAACCATGGTTATTTTGGACCTTTAATATGAACTGACCTTGTTTGAAGAAAAGCTTAGAATTGAATAATCCAAAATATTGAACAACTGAAAGATTTATTATTCATAAAGACTTTGTAATCTATTGCAACAATATGCTTCATATAGGGCATTATGAGGAGGGGCCGCATCGGCGGAGTCAAAGGGGCAACGGCCATGGTGGTGGTTTTTTTGGGAGGATTGCCATCTCAGCCCAATTTAACTAGTTAATTTCTTTGCTGCATAAGGATTGGATTTGAGAGGTCCTCCCGTCCAAAATAGGCATTGTTCTTCTTTGCTCATCAATGACTGGATTTCGGTGCTCCTTTTAGAAGCTTGGATATATGCACATATATAACCTCACTTTGGAACACCCTCACTTAGGAAATGTAGTTCATGTCAACCGCGTTGCAGAGAATATATCTTTTGTATCCTCAACGGCACAGTAAAGAAAAATAATTTGTTAGCAGAACAGAAAAAAAAAAAAGCATAAACCTTTATGCATGCTATGAGATGAACATATATGTAGACCAAATAGGATGAACAAGAAGCCATTGTTACAAAACTTACCGTTGATGAGGATATTATCACGTTACTTCTTTCTTTCAAGACTTTCCATTACACGGCTCTTCCCTAATGGCTAGAAAGTTAGAGTAGGTGGTATTAAATAAACTCGCATCGCCCTCCTCCTTCTAGATAAGGAAGACTATGAGCATAGAAAGTGAAGCAACAGAGACAGGCGGCCGGTTAGACGAGAAGGAGAGTTAGGATGAAGGGGGGGGGGAAAAACATGCTTAAATGAGCCAAGGCTCAGAGGAAGTGTTTTCTTTTCATATGACCTCTCAACCATCCACTCCTTTTATAGTCTAAGATAGTTGGCATGGTTGAGAATTCGAAGCTTTTACAAGGAATGCAACTCACATTTTTTTGGCTACATTCAACACATAAATTCAAAGTTTCAAGAAGAAATTTGAACTTTGTGTCATCAGGGGATTAATTCAAGGTTTCAAGAAGAGATTTGAATGTATTAATTTTCGAGCATTACTTCAAAGATTTTAGAATAGATTTAAGCTGTTTAGAGCATTAATTCGAAGGTTCGAGAAGATTTGAATTTTTGTGGCTCTATTTGATGAATTAATTTAAAATGGGAAGGAGAGATTTTTAATATGATTTATCATTGCAAAAATTTTTTCTAGAGATTTGAATAAGAGAGGCTACACGTCTTATTCCTTGCCCAATTCATAGCTAAAACACGTCCTTTTTTTGCCTTTGCTTATCTAGTTGTCGTTTAGTCCCAACATGTGACAAAATTCACTAGTAAAAATTCACGTATCCTAGACGGAATATTCTAGACGGAAATTTTTCCGTCTAGAATGTATTAAACTAGACGGAAAATTTCCGTCTAGAATATTCCGTCTAGGATAAACTATTCTAGACGGAAATTTCCGTCTAGAATAGTATTCTAGACGGTTTTTTTATTTTTAATTTTTTTTTAAAAAAATCCTGGTATTCTAGACGGAAATTTCCGTCTAGAATGTATCCTAGACGGAAATTTCCGTCTAGAGCCCATTTAAAAAAAAATTAACCCGTCAAAACCCTCGCTGCCCAGCATTCCCCCAAAAATCGAAATTTTCATCCCCAAAATCAAAACCCCCGCTGCCCTCCATTCCCCCCAAAAAATCCTCAACTCCAACACCTCCCCCCCCCCCCCCTCCTCTCCCTCTCCCTACTCAACCTCACCCCCGACACCGCCCTCCCCCTCTACTCCCTCTCCCTTCACGGCCTCCACCATCTTTCCCGCCTCCTCACCGAACCCCCTCCCGAACTCCTACATCCTCTCCTCCGCACTCAAGAGTCCTCCCCTCTCCCCATCGCCCGCACCCTCCACTCCCTCGCCCTCAAGCTTTGCCCCTCCGAGTAGAGATTAGCATCAAGGCCATCGGCCCATCCCCTCCCTCCTCGATTCGAATTCCCTCTCTCATCAAGGTAACCGATCAAAACCCTAACCCTAATTCAATTTCCCCAATTCCAAGTTTTACAAAATGTTACTTCAAAGCTACAAACTTTTTGAAGGACCGATTGAAGCTCTTTAGATCGCCAGCTTCATAAGAACCGATTGAAGCTCATCTGGAAAGGGAAAATTTTGAAGGACGAGAACGAGGATGGCGAGGATGTCTATGTCAGATTCAACAATGGCGGTAATTTCTTGATTTTTCGTTTGCTTTGCTCGTGGAAAATTTTAAATTTCATTTGATTAAAGCTTATATTTTTTAAAGTGTAGATTTGACCATTGGATTGGAACTGGGTATATAATGATACACTTGCATCGTTCTTTTCAGACTTCTAAATTTTTGGATTCATGTGAAGTTGATTTATGTTTTCCAAGATATTGAGTTTTCTAAGCAAGAAAATAATCCTATAGGTGCCAAATATAAATCAAATGGATTAAAAGAAGAGATTAACTTCATTGCAATATTTGTTTGCTTCTGGAGTTTCATATATCACCTTAATTTCCATATTTTTATACTACATCAGTTTTCGTTCCTTGCAAATTGACAGCCATGTAGGACTCATTTTTTTTAATAATTTAATTAATTCTTAAAATTCTGTATAATCCAACTTTGTTGTTTGAATATTTTCCTACCCTATACATCTGAGTGAATTCTGTAGTAGTGTTTCTGTTTCTGTCATATGCTTTATCCATTCTATCTAGGTTTCTTGAAGTGTCTGGCACCTGAACAGAGCCCCGGACTGAGGCCCGAAGTATGTTAAATATGATAAGCTATTTCGCAGTTTCTTTCTTGTTGAATACAACAATAACTGAAATTAGACTTATTTTGTAATCATTTTTTGTCATTGGCTTAAGAAATTAGCCTCAACTTTTAATCCACTTATTTAAAAACATATGGTCGTGCATGTGTGAAAAGGAGTATCTTTCGATCATCTCAAATGTGCCACCAGCCAGATGTTGCCTACAATAAGATTCTTTAGTTTTTTCACGGAATAATTCAAGTGTGGAAAGTTAGAATTGTTAATTACCGCATCTTTATATAGATTTTCGTATTGTTGCTGGGCTAGCATGGTAATCGTTCATATGAACTCATGCATGTGATGTTTGCAAATTCTATTAATTTGCACTCTAAATTTTTTTATTGACTTTATCCTCAATTATTTATCTGTAACAATCTTACATTTTGGGAGTATATTTTGTGGTATCTAATATAATGTGTCTGTTGTGTCTTCCATAGGAGAGAATACGCATTGGTAAAGAGCTTTTAGAAGCCAAACGAATGGAGGAAGAAAATGAAAGAAAACGGTTATACTCTGACTGCTTTTAAGTATTATGTTTATATTTTATGTTTTCCATACATTTGGTGTGTGTTGCACAGCTGTCTTTGGAATAATGAGTTATAAGTTTGTCTCTTTAATGTCTAGAATAATGGCACTGAGAAAGGCAGAGAAAGAGGAAGAGAAGAGGGCGAGAGAAAGAGAAGAGCTTTTACATATTCTTTATTGTTTGCCTCTTCAATTTGTATGTCTTTCATGTTTAATGTTAAATGTGTTACATATATAATAGGTTAGATAGAATGCATATATAATAGGTTAGACATATATAATAGGAATGTGCTGCGACTGTCAAGGTGCCATAGTAGAATACTTCTTGGTTTCGCATCTTTATTAACAAAGTATTGTTTGGGGCATAAAAGACTTTACACAATGATGAATACCCTTTATTTGCTTTGCTCTTTATTCAAATGAATACATAAGCTGGACTCCTGAATAAATGCCACAAGTGAAGAGTCCATTCCACCATTTGTATATTTTTACTGTCTAAATAGGTCTCGAAATCACATCCTTTTGGCATTACGGTGGTATTCCCTAAACGGGCGGGCAATTTCCTACATATCATGTGTCATTGTACTACTTGTGCATGTACTCAGTTAACTATGTCTTAACATGATTCTCTGCCATGTTCTAGAATGTCAATGAGGAAAGTACTAAAGTTAATGACCTTTCACTTGTCAAGGAAAGGTTTTTGCTAAATGAGACTTGATTATTGAGTTATAGGATAATAAAAAAACATGCAAGCTCTCCTCCAGAGACATTTTAAGTCATTAGTATAATGTTAATGATGTTGGCCATCCATCGTATATATAATGGACGGTTATAAAGCTTTCCACTCTCTTATCTCTTTTAACTTAGTCACTTCCTCCATTTCGTCACTTCCTCCATTTCGGTCCATATTAAAATAGAATCAGGCCTTTTTATACTGTTGTTTATTGTGCTATAAAATAGAATCAGGCCTTTTTATACTGTTG